GAGAACTACATTGAGGGCTTTGACGTTCACCAACTCAGTGAGATCATCAACCGATCGGTACGAACCATTTACAGGATTGTCAAGAGATTCGAGGAGGAAGGCACCCATGAGCGCCTCCCTACCACGAACTGTGGTAGGACGCCTCAGATTGGCACCCGCATAGGCATGGTAAGTGAGCTGCCCCATCGAGGACCTTGACTTAAACGCTGGGCATGACAGCATATCAAGGCCCTGTATGATCTGAACCCTACCCTATACCAGGATGATTGCGCAGAGTTTATGAACCAGGAATTTGCAACTTCACTATCGAAGTACCATGTCTGTCGATACCTCAAAAAGATTGGATATACTCGAAAAACTCTCATTCTAAGGGCAGCTGAACGGAACGGCATTTTACGTGCGCAACACGCGATAGCAATGGCTGAATACAGTCAAGAACAACTGGTCTTTCTCGATGAGTCTGCTGTCGATGAGAGGACTGCTACCCGCAAATTTGGTTATGCGCCAGTCGGTACTAGGGCGATTGAGGAGAGACCGTTTGCTCGAACCAAACGTTGTAGTGTATTGCCTGCACTTACCTCGACAGGGCTCCATGCTTTATCGGTCTTTCAGGGATCCTTCAATGCTGATCGATTTGTCGAATTCCTCGAACATGAACTGCTACCAATTCTCAACCCCTACCCTGGTCCGAACAGCGTGGTTGTCCTTGACAACTGCCGTATCCATCATGACGAAAGGGTATATGAACTCATTGTTCAACGCGCTGGATGTCGACTCCATTTTTTGCCGCCTTACTCACCAGACCTCAATCCAATCGAGCTGTGCTTTAGTATGATGAAGAGCTGGATGAAGCGCAACAATGAGCATGAGTTAGTTCGATCAGACCCTGAGGGTTACATACGCTGCGCAATCGACTCGACCAATGAGCACCCTGACAAGATCCGCAACTTGTATATGAACTGCGGTTATGCATTGTCAGATGCAGAGTTACGTCGGTATGTCGATTATAACAACCAGGTCACTATTGATTCTAGGGCAACTATGTAGTCACTTTTTTCTAGCTTGTATGAGTAGGTTTTTCGATCGAAGCAATACATTCGTTTATTTTCAGTAACCTGCCATTCTCACGGGCAGATTCCCTCACAAAATGGCTGTACGTATGCCCAAATGCAATGCATGAAGACGTGGTCTTCAGTAACCACCGACTCTAGTTGCAGCAAATTGCATACTACTTGACACCAGGGGTGGCGAGTACGGTAGCAATTGAAGTAAGGTGTTGAGCTTTGTAAGGTCATTGTGAAAGAACTAAGCATGTTATCGAGAAAAGAAGAATACCACATAAAAGAGCAGAACTAATAGATACTTTCTGACTCATCGGGAACCTCGTAAACCTCGAAGGGTCTTGCTTCCAGTCGTTTAGCGTTGGAATCATTCTCCCGCATAATACCTTTCCATACTCGCCAGCAATTCTTCATGAGCATGACCCAGCCCTTCTTAGCAGGTGGTAGACCATCATCCGGTATCTTTTTGAGGTCGTCGAGGCGAATGACGTGGTCAACCACTGCATCCCTGACTACGTCAATATTGAAGTTGGTGTAGGCAGGGGCATGTCGCCCAACATACTCCAAGAATCCATCCAAATCATCTCCTGCTGGTCCTGAAAGAGGGCTCGAGCCTCTCATGGGTTGCGCTTGGTCTGGTACCTGAGTCGAAGGGAGTGCTTGGTTCAAGTCAAACCAGCTGATTGTCATGGGGGTAGGTAGGTGCGAATGCCCACTTGAAGACCTGCTTTCAGGTGTTGCCGAGGGTTGATCTGTTGGTTTGAATGCTTCACGCAAGCTGTTGAACATGGTGTCATGTAGGGGTGGTTGATCGAGCGAGCCCCAGGCTCTTCATTGGCAATATAGTCTGCCCATCGATTCTGCTGGTGCATGTAAATGTGTCGATGAGCCTTACTCAATGGGTGAACGTAGCATAGGTTTTGATGGTGCTGGGCTCATTTGTATTTTTGCTGAAGGGACTGTACGGCAAGCAACTTGTGGTAAGCAACAGGGTCTCCCTCGATGTTGACAGAAACATCCTGAAGGGCCCTCGTAGTTGCTGTATTCCTAGCCCTTGCGAATGGAATGTTGCGGGGCCTTGACTTCTGCTGGGAGGACCTAGTGGGAGTTTCGAGGTCTTCGGTACGGGAGAGAGACTGGATTTGCGGTACGAAGCGCGTATCGATTTGAATGAAAGCTGTCCACTCGATCTTAGGTACCATGCGCTCAGCGTTGACGGCCTCAATGAATGCTTCCCAGTTGAGGGGTACCGTAGTCGACACC